ACATAGAAATATAAGCTGTAACAATCAATACAAAAACATTTGTAACATTGTATTTCCAGATGTATTTTATGCATGTTATCTTTTAACTCCTTTTGCTTATTGAAAATCTAATCATAAACCAAATAATAGTTGTATGTTATTAAATAACAGCCTAATAAGTATAATTATTAAACTTGTTTACAAGTAGTAAATTCTTTAAATACAATACTGAGAATACTATAATATGTTTGACTTCTTTGGCTTTTTCTGAACGTAAGTAACACTAATCCAGAATACCATATGTATTAAAGTATATATCTACTACAAGTTTACTAAAGTGTTTTCTTAAATCTGATTGTAAGAACCTGTTAATCCTTGTAATTATTCAGTTGTAATTTATCTAGTTATAATACATCATATGTCAAGAAAACCTTAGGATAAAGGAATGTTAGGCTCAAACATTATGGTTTTAATTTCCCTAGAATTTCAGTCCATATGTGTTTGTACAATCTTTACTTTCTCAAATGTTTTGATCTTAACGTTCAGGGTAAAAATAGTTTCAAAGGTGAAAAAACAATTCTGTCAGCGAATCTTCTCACTGACTTTGTTATAGTCAATGAATCTCTGCTTTCCAGATGGGACCTAGTATGTCTATAGAAGGAGTATCTCCGAAGTAGTAGTGCCTACTTGCTGAAGTATAGACTTTAAGCAGTTTTTCTATACTTATTCCCAGTATAACCTAACATGCTTAATTACAATTATGAGATTAAATAGCTAACTCCTAATTCAAAGTGATGTTTTGATGAATCCTCCACACATTAAAAGTAAGGATATTTCAACAATTCAAATAAACCATTTTTTTCTATTTTTAGCTCTTCTAGTATTGTCTAGAAGGCCTAAAAATATCCTATTTTGCCTTCTACCTTAGCCATTAGAAATTCAAAGCTTAGCCATTTTTGAAAAATGACAAAATGATCCATTTTTATTTTAAATAAGTTATATGTGCTTCCAAAATAAAACAATATGAATTTAAAAAAATGGAAAATATTTGTGAATGTAAGCCCTCTTTAAATGTGACAGAATTAAGCATCACTTTCTACGTGTACGGTGTGACATTTTCATTTTATCCCCAACTGTTTTATTTCTTGTATTATTTTGGAGTTTGTGAACATGCCATGATGTTTGGTGATTACATAATTTTGATTTCATGGTTCTAGCTTAGTATAGAGGTGGCTAGACACAGCAGCAAAATCAATTTCTTTTTCATCTTTGTGGGAAAAGACAAAAGGAAATTGAATGCAAAATCTGCATTAAGGCCATATTAGACAGGTAGCTCAGCAATCTGTTACACCTGGTGTAAAAACAGGCGTCACTGTGGAGAGACTGTGCTACCATGCTCAACCAACAGTTAGATTTAAAACAAAGAGAGCCCTTTGTGCCACTCTTGCCCTATTTTGTTACCCATATGTTCCAAATGCATCTGACCTAACACTATCACTTTTTGTCTCCTCTTACCAAAGGAACTCAGAGGCAGGACTGTCCTTAAACAAAATCACGAAGTAGGTGAAGCCTGTATTCATTCCCTAGGCTTCAGCAGCGACAGTTTCACCCTAGACCTCACCACCTCGCTGTCCCCAGATTTCTTGTCAGTTACTCAGTGTTCTGCATTTGTACCTTGCTTTCCAGAGGGCTTAGGCTGTCTCCTGGTACCCAGTGGGCTCTATGACTTTATCATTGCCCTCCCAGAATTGTTCAGTGGCTCCCCAAGTGGAGCTGGGCAGTCTAGATCTCCCTACCTTACTTCCTGAGTCTTATGTCCCACTCTTCTCCTCTACTGCAAACAGACCGTCCCCTGGCTGTTATTGTTTACACATCACCGTTCCTTTTGTCTGAGCCAGCCTTCACTTCTCATCTCATCTCTCCAAGGTAGGCTCAACTGGACCCCCTCTACATACTTTACCTGACCATCCCTAGTCCCTCACTGTACCCTCTATAACACTCACATGGTGCTCAACACGTTATTGCTTTGTATTACAATATTCATGTATGAATTTTGTCTCCATGCACTGTGCTGGATGCTTTATAACTGTAATCACATTTAAATTTCACAACAAGCCAATGGAGTAGTATCAGACCATTTAAAATGTGAGGAAACTGAGGCTCAAATAGATTAAATAACTTGCCCAAGGTCACACAAATAAGAGCTAGGAATCAGCCAAAGCTGTCTGACTCCAAATCACACTTCCTCCTACCCTCCCACACTTCAATCTCCTCAGTTCTGTTTTATCCCTGAAAGGCAAAATGAAGGCTTGAGTTGGAGGAAGAAGCCCATTTAGGGCCTTGGAGTAAAAGACATTTACCAAAGAGATAGAGTTTATTGATAATTATTTTATTTTTAGCGAGGCCTGGTTGAGTAACTAGAATCTATGATGTATAAGTAAAATGTGACAAAAATTCTTCACCTCATTGGTAGAACAGATAAACATGGCATGGAATATTTAAAACAGTTTGTAATCTAATAAAAACTAGAGAGCTTTGGTTTGTCTCTGAGCATTATTGGAAAAAGAGATAGATGATAGATAGATAGATAGATAGATAGATAGATAGACAGACAGAGAGACAGACAGGTAAGCAGCAAATGTGATGTTGACTAGAGAAGGTTTCCTACAAATTACCAATTTAAACAATTTGGGATAGTTAGGAGGCTGAAGATCTGATTATCGTGCTAGATGTCTCTATTGACATCTCTATCTATCTATCTCTATTGAATGTAAAGCCCACTTTTAAAATTTTGTTTATAGTACAGCATCCTGAATGCATTATCAGAGAGAAATAAAGTGTCCTTAGGAGGAAAATCTTCTCACAAAAAGGATAGTTTTTTACCAAGCCCCTGTCAAGTACCAAGGGATCTAGGGTTTCAGCTCAGCTCTAAACAGCTACACTTAGCCTAGGGCCAGGCTGTCTCCATCAGTCAAGTAGCAGAGGCCTCTCCCCTGGGAAGAGCTGACACTTAAGGTCTCTAAAGTTGTTGTTGTTGTTTGACATTTTGTTTGTTTTTGTGGGACTGCAGATTGAACCTAGGTAACTACCACTAGCCTACATCTGCAACCCTTTTTAATGTGGTTTTTTGTTGTTGTTTTTACTTTAAGATAGGGTCTCATTCTGTTGCCAGGCTGGCCTTGAAATTGTGATCCATCAGTATCTCTTTTGCTTTTCAACAGACACAAAATTTTTCATTTATATTATCAACTTCTCGTTTCTCAGATCCTAGTCTGTCATATACGATTAGTTGTGGATCTCTTTAGCGTGCATGAGATCTTTAAGGTTAAAGTGGGTCATGTATTGTCACTAAACATGTGTCTTCCGGAGGACTCTGCTGACTTCCAGCAGCCATTTCTAGTTTGTTTGCAAACACCAGTGAAATTTATGTATTTTCCTTTTATGCCAATTCCACTCATGCATGGCTCTACACTTCTGTTCCTAACACCAATCTTAATAATAGCATAGTTATTAAAATAATTGTTATCTAGAACCTGAAATGCATACTGTGTGTCAGTCTCTGTGAGAGACAGCACAAGAATTTTCAGTTTAGGTACTGAATCCAAAGAATTCAAACAGCCTAATAGGAAAGCTACTTCACCATTCTGTCAAAAAGAAAACAAAGTAAAACAAACTCAAACATTAAAGTTGCTTTTGTTTTTTCCTTACATGTTTTATGGTTTTTCTTATAGTCTACAAAGTCCTCTATATTCATTTAATTCTTTCCCATCTTTTAAAGTAATTGCAGATTCACAGGAAGTAAGAAAAAATTGAATCTATATAACTCCATTTCCAGTAGTTAGATATTTATAATTGTTCAGGATCAAAGCCAAAATTTGATATTATTATAATTGATTTTAAAATTTTAAAACACAAAAATTTTTCTGCCCTGTGAATAGCTCGCATAGTTTTAAATTCTACTCTGTGCTTTGTCCCTATTCATAAGTGATAAGAATGCAGACAATCCAGGGGAAGAAAAAGGAAGGAAGGAAGGAAGGAAGAAAGGAAGGAAGGAAGGAAGGAAGGAAGGAAGGAAGGAAGGAAGGAAGGAAGGAAGGAGCCAAAGGGGAGGTGCTCATAGATTCACTCAGAGAACTTTCTCCCACATTGGTAGACATGATATTTGGGTCTCATCAGACCCCAGGTGACTGTCACAGCAAAGGAATGAAAAGGATCCCACCTCAGAAGACCTGCGTCAGAATCTGATTCCACCTCCAAATATATGACCTTGAGCAACTCTCCTGGACTTCCCATGCTTTAGTGTCGTCATTTATAAAAGGGAGAAACTATTTCTCCTGCTTGCTTCGTAGGGTTGTTGTAAGAATCAAATGTGCTGGTGTGCATGAGAGAGAGGCAGGTTCTGAATGGAAATTATGAAGTTGTACCGTTTCCTGAAACTACTGCCAGTTACAGAAGTGTAGTTTTTCAGAAGTGTTCTCATTCTTAGAACAGAACTGCCCCCTAACATGAGCCATGTGGCCTAGAACTTCCATCATGTGTGCATGACCTCCCCTTTCCACCACTTAGTAGGATAAATACCAATAATCATCGAAGGAGCACTTGGTGTTCTCATTACCTGCACCCTGAGGCATAGTGTCTATTCTAAAATTAATATTTCCAACAGTTTCTTCTACAAGGTCTAGAGCACTTTAAGTAGCTTTTATTTTTATCTTGACTGCAAGATTTACTTCTACTCTGTGTCATTCCATGAGATGCACCATGGCTGTGCTTGACAATAGTGAGAAAATATAAGGGCACCAAATTAGACAGTGAGCGATTTATGAAGTAAAATTGCAAATCATCCAAAGCTCTGAACTCATTGATGGGTTCAGGTTTGTGGATAGTGACAATATTAATTTTGAAGTAAGCTAAGTAAAATGAACTTTAATCATGGAAAATAAAATAAAGTCTTTGAATCGCATGTTCTGGTATCACAGTAAAAATGTTGAGATCTGTCTTCTCCCCTCTTCCCCCATGTGCAGGCTGGCATGGCTCTGACCTATGACCCCACAGCTGCCATACAGAATGGGTAAGTAGAACCTATTTTTCCTGTTTTAATTGCCAAAATATATTTGAACTGAGTCAGTACCAAAAAAAAAAAAAAAGTTTAAATATGTTTTTCTTTTGTGTACCATTTTATAATCAAATGTTAAACTTTTTGCCATTTTAGTTATTTCCTTCCTGTAAGTGATTCTCTTATCTGCCAGCTAGATTCTTCCCTCTCCCTCTCTCTCTCTTTCCTTCTCCTAGGCCTCTTGCCCAAAATGAGGAGCATAAATAACTGAAACACAGGAGAGAACATAGATAAAGTTCAGGTGGGAGAATTATCTGTGTTTCTCCAGGACAAGTGTATTGCTCTGCAAATCATCATGCAATCTGGTGTTCAATAATTTCTAGTGTGCTTCCAGGTTAAATTTTATGTTCATAATACTTTCCGCTCTCCTATGGTGGTCAGCATAATGTTAATAGCCAGAGAGCAGGATAGCAACTCAGGTGATTAGATCTTCATTCTTTACTGATATCAGCATGTGGAAATTTGTAGCCTATTACAGAGTTTCAAATTTCTCCTGTAAAACATGAGATTGTTAAAATGTGTGGTCTGGCATTTCTAAATTTTCATGAATTCTGGATAGTTTTAGTTGAAATCTTTTCTCTCATATGTGTGTCTGCGTAATATTATGATATATATATATATATATATATATATATATATATATATTCTTTTTTACCATTGTGTGTCTTGCCCCTGACACTAATAATTTGCTGCTTGCTTGCTTCTTTTAACATCTCTTTATGGTGGATTTCCCATATGGCTTTCATTCTGCTGTCTGTCTTTTAGTCTCATCACAAATTAAATCACAACAAAGACTTCATTAAAGATCAATGTAGAGGGTGGAATGAGTTTAATTTCATTTTTCTCTTTGGTCAATGACCTATAATGAAAATCTGTGGGGTGTTGAAAGTGTTATAATAGTCACTACTGATTTGTGTCATTCTGTCACTCATTTTTTCCTGCCTCAAGCATCCAGTGAGTGTGTCAAGCACAGTGCTACAAAATAGACCCAAAAGGCAGTGTACAGCACAAAGTCTTATCCCAGAAGAAGTCCAAAGTCTCCTTTCCCTAAAGAGTGATCACTGCGAGTAGATTAGGGGAGGAATCTACTTCTTTTCCTTTGGTTCACTTGATTTATTCCCTTGTTAAGCAAATAACTATCTGTAAGTTTTGTGTTCAGAGCACTCCACTAAGAGTTGGGAATATATTAGTAAATAAAATGGGTCCCGTCTTTGCTCTTTTTTGCTTTCTTTGATAGCAACAGAAGTTAATTAACATTAAAAGGCTTTAACTGTTTATTCATGATAAGCATGCAAAGAAGTGCAGGATGATAGGAAGAGTCTGACCTTGCTTGTATAGTGAGCCAAGACTTTTGGGAATAGTGTCTTGAGCTGAGATTAGACAACTTTTAATAACTAACTTGATTTCATTTGATGGTAAAAGAGAGTGAAACAAAACTGGCTCTGAAGTCTTTGTCCTAGAAGGACTGGAGTTACTATTACAGAAAGGCAAGGCAATGTAGTCTAGAGCCATATTTAATTATCGGACTTCTCAAGACAGAAACAATGAACTGGAAGAGGAGAACTGGGTGGTACCTAGAGGGTGGTACCTTCTTACATGCTGTCTTACTCAGACATTCGTGAGCACACACTCAAATTCTCTAAAGGCGTCATTTTCCACTTACTTGTGCTTAATCATCAAAAACCTAAAGGATTAAAACTTTGAGTTTTATTTCTTAATCTGAAGGGCAGAAGGTGAAATTGGCCCAGCACCTTGTTCAGCCAGTAGATATTGCCCAGTGCGGACTGACACTTGGAACTGAGGCTTTTAGTCCTTGTCTACTTGAAATCTTACCCATTTTGCTTTTTTGTTGTTACTATTTATGTTGTTTTGAAACTTTGTTACCTCTTGGAACTCATGACTGTTTATTGGTGCTCCTTCTTGTTCCTTAAGCACACTTCCTTTTCAATTTTATGGTCCTATTCAGTTTTTCCTCCTATTCTTCTCATTTTGTTCATTTTTTCTCATGTTTTAATCTTTACACACTGTTATTTCTAGTGATCTCATCTGCTTCTATCACTTCAGGAGCTGAAGACTCACATGCTATGTTTCTAGTCTCTCTCACCCCTGACACTTGTAGCTATTAGGTGGTGTCTGTGCCTTTCCTTTACCCTTACCTGCACGTCACAGAACAAACTACACTCATTCAAATGAAAGCACAAAAATACACAGCAAATTACTTTTCTCTTTTAAAATTTACTCTAAAGCCACTTGGACTATAAACTCAAGTTTATCTGGCTTGCTAAATTTTTCCCTAAATTTTTCATGAAAAAATGATTATTGACACTTTTTCATTCTACATCTGAAATCTATCTTCATTCCAGCCCTGCCTCCCTCTCCCTGATTGAGTTCCTTTCATGGTCATCCCTACCTGTACCAAGTCCTCTTTTACCTAGATCTAATGTAACCGTCCTCCGGACCATCTTCCATGACCTTTTTAAATATTTTTAGTAATTTGTGTAATCATATCAATTTACCTCTCTTGTTTCAAATATTACGTGTTATTTACTAACTACTGAACAACTCAGACTTCCCTGTACAGCAATCATAGCGTTTCACAGGTTGTTTAGTGCATTTGATCTGATCTTTTTTGTAACTCAAATATCCCACTGTGTCTTTAATACAAGGAATTCTTTCCACCTGAGTTCAGGCATGGTGATATCCACTCTTCCTCACCCCCCTGCCAAACACAAACTTAAAAAACAAAAATACTGCAAGAACATCATCAAACCAGACCATGCAGAGCTACTTACATACTTGATCATAAGAAAAATAATGCATGCAGTGATGTGGTTGACACGCCAGAACCGGACTCTTATCTATGCACATCCAAATTCTGCCGCTTACCTCATGTTAAATTGTGGCCATTACTTGTACTTTAGCTTTCTCCTTTTATGAAAAGGAGATGATATTATTAGTCCTCTTTAATAAAACTTCTTAAGGATTAAGTGAACTTGGTATGGTGCAACATAACCATTATTGTAAATATTGATATTCTGTTTTACTGTTCAGTGTTTCCATTAAACATTCGCCAGTTAGACTTCTTACTTCATGATTATTGACACACCTACCTATTTTCCTGCTGACCTGGTGACCTGGTGAAGATATGCACTAGATCTTGTTCTCCTTAATAGACTGTGTAACACAGTATTGTGGATACCAAATCAGATATAGGAGCATGGTAGTTGGTATCTGTCTGATTCTGTCAAGCGAATGTCAGGAAAATCACTTCCCTTCCCAGCTATCAATTCAGTTTGGCCTTGTATAATATCTTAACCTCCTTTCCTTGAAATACAATCTTCAATTTTACCCAAAGCAGCAAAATTATCTGAGTTTGTCAGGTCCTGAGTTAAGGATGCAGTTTTGAAAGTGTTAGACTATCCACTGTGTATTGATGACAAGAAGATAGAAATATTATACACCATATGGAAATTGAAAGGAATAGGAAGATTGTAGCTAAATAATTTTAATTATTTGTTACTACATCACATAGAGTAATTTTAAATGTTTGGCTGAATTTTGGTTCTATTATTGTATACATTTACAACCCAGTAATAGTGTACTAAAAAAAAAAAAATCAACCATTTCTATACATGTAAGATGTCAAAATAACTGTGTGTATTTTCTTAGCATACTGCCCTGTGGCTGAACAGCGGCAGCTCCCAGAGATGTGGAACCTGAGTTAGATAACTCACTTAGCTCATCAAAATGCATTAATGACCAAAATAATGTTTGACACTCCCTGTTCATATTGCTTTTTTTGGTCTCATAGTCAAATCTAACTCAGAGAGAAGAAAGCTAGCAAAAAAATAAATACGTATTACTGCAGGGAGGAGGCTAAACCAAAGATCTAGTAACCACTCTCCAACCAAGTTAGAATTGTGCTGATTCAGAAGAGCTCACCAAACTTTTTTTTCCTTAAATTTCTATTATTTAACTGTTTAAAATTATTTTGGTGATACAGTTTAATAAAAAACCTCACATCATATCAGAGACATGGATGTGTCCAATTCTACTATGAGATGACCAAGAAGAGAACTCTGATAGAAACATAAAATACTAGGACATTTATGTACATATTCACCTTTGTATGTATAAGTTTTTTCTGGACAAGTAAATACACAAGAAATAGTAGCAATCATTTTCTGTGAATAGCAAGGGAGTCTTGAGAAATTGAGGTGGGAGAGAAACTTATGAAGTTTACCTTTGCATGTTTTTTTTTTCAAAAAGAAAAATAAAGAAAACTAATTCCACTGCACAACTACAGAGGAAATGTGGTTGCATTTCAGCGAATATTGGCAGGACTGTGATGAGCGCTGGCGTGAGCCTGTCCTTCTACAGAGGTCCCATCACCCACCAAAGATGTATTTCCCAATGCTGAGGGGTCCTCTCACTGTACTTTGAGAAGGAGACTTTTGATGATTGTATGGGCTGCCTTATGGTTAGTAGCTCCAACAGTGTTGAGAGGCGAATGCTCTTATTTCCATAAACTCCACAGTAATAAGAGCATCATGAGACTGAAACAAAGACTTTTCCATTTAACTTGATTTTTAACTAATAAAGAACAAGCATTTTGTGATTAGACCATTTTGTAATTGTAAGTGCAACATTTTATAAGTGCTATTTGCACTTAATCAGTGGAACATTTCAGTTCTGTCACCCGCCTGAGTTTATCTATATTGTCACTTCTGTGAAAGAACCAGTTCAATGTCACTTGTATCTAAGGATTTGAAGGTTACAGTGAAGGTCTGAGTCACCACAAAGAAAGACCTGTATATACTTTATGATAGGCTAACTTAGAATGTTAAGAATGTTCCTTCTTCCTTCACAGTGTGTTGGTAGAACTCTATAATGTGTTATAATTTTTGCTCTATAGTTTTCTTCACAGTCCAATATGAAATTTGGTCACTTTCAAA